CTGAGCATACACCAGCTGATTGCAAAACACAATACTTACCGCGCTGCACGTACCCACCGTTTCTCTGTGAATATAAAGAGCAGCACCTGTGCTGAGCAGGTGTGTGTTTATTTGCTGTGAGGCTGTGTGCCTCTGCCCTTCCTGTGCATTTTCACTCTGTCTCTCAGTATTTTTTGTGTTTTTCTGTTTGTTAGCGGTCAGTCATCCACCACGAGGCTCTCCTCCCCTCACAGGTTTTCCATTGATTTTTAGATTTGTTTGCAAACCGATGCATCCAGGCTTTAGAAAGTCTGCAGCAACTGAAAAACTCTGAGGTGAATGTTTGTACATCCTGCACTGGGGTCTGCAACACCAGTTTAAAGGCCTCTCAGCAGGATGTTTGTTACCATAAAAAAACACACCTTGGAACATCTTCTGTTTATATAGAAACATGTAAATAGCTTTATTTTCAATGAGCTTTACGTTTTTAATATACCCTCCACTTATCGCACCCCTGTTTACCATCTACTGCAACATGATATCCCCTTAAGTACAATTAAAGCCTCTTCCTGAGGTTTTTAGTTGAATTTCTTCCAGTTCAAGTTTGTTTTATTCCTTAGTTAATATTCCAATATTTATAATAAGCTTGGATTACATAGTGAGGGCATACTTAATATATTCAGATACATGGTGCTGTAAGAGGAGTCTTCTGACTTTAAAGGCACTTTTGGGGGAAATTAAACCAGAAAACCTAAAGTGTGGTTTGTGGTTTCCAGTGAATTAAATCCTTCATGCAACTTTAAAGGGCCAAAATTGCACAAACAACATGATTTAATCTCCTGTATTTTTCCAGTATTTGAGAATTTTAAATTCCTACCTCAAGAGCAAGCAGCTTTTAAGTGATGGATTTGAGGGCCAAAAACACAAAAGATAAGTGTCAGGAGAGAGATCTGGACTAGGAGTCAAACTGCCGGTGTTACAGTTTAACAGCAAATGTCTAACAACCCAAGCCTCCACTGCTTTACAGTCAGCATTTATAAATGTGCCACATGATGTGAAGTGGTATCTAAAATGTTGTAACAAAGAGTGAAAAAACATTTACTACTTTCCTTGTTCAAGTTGTCAAATTTGCATTTTTATGTGTTTTTGTGACAATTTCATGCCCCCAACTTTGTGGCAACAGTTTAGGGTTGGCCCCTTCTTTTTGCAGCATGCACACCAGTGCACAAATCAAGGTCCATAAAGACATGGACTGATGTCACAAATGTGCTTCTGGAAGAACCGGTCAAAAATTCCCAGAAGAGCTGAAGCTGTTATAGCTGCAAATGGTGGACTGACCTATCAAACCCTATGGATTAAGAATGGGGCGTCACTCATGTTCATACATGTTTGAAGACAAACAAACTAATACTTTTGGCTGTATAGTTTAAGTCCATTCTCACTGCTTCCAGTGTAATTAAGTGAGTAAATAGCAGCCTGGTGGTGCCAATCAAATTGACTTGATTAGTTGATGATCAGCAAGTATGAGCACCTCTATAAAAGCAGAACTTTTGGCATTTTGCATACTCAGAAAAACTGCCAAAAACCCAAGAACTACACCTCAGACTCTACAGGCCTTAATTAGCATGTTAAATGTTAAATTTCACGAGAGTACAATTAAAAAAGACTGAACAAGTGTGACTTGTTTGGGAAGATTGCCTGAAAAAAACCTCCTCTCTATAAAAAGAACATGGCAACACAGCTTAGGTCTGCAAAGCTACATCTGAACAAACCACAAGACTTCCATAACAATGTCTTTTGGACAGATGAGATCAAAGTGGAGTTGTTTGATGATAATGCACAAAACTAGACCCAACATCAGCAAAAATACCTCATGCCATCTGTCAGCACGTGGTGGTGGGGTGTTGATTTGGGCTTGTTTTGCAGCCACAGGACCTGGACAGCTTGCAGTCATTGAGTCGACCCTGAACAACACGTATACCAAAGTATGCTAGAGTCAGATGTGGGGCAAGTTGAACAGCTAAAGCTTGGACCAAACTGAGTCATGCAACAGGACAATGATCCCAAGCACAGCGACAAAAAGCAATGGGTGAAAAAAAAATTCAAGATGCTACAGTGACCAGTCGAACTTCAGACTTCAACCTGATTGAAATCCTTTGATCTGATATCCTTAAGAGACCTTGCAAACTCGATTGAACCGAAGCAACATTATAAAGATGAATGGACCAAAATTCCTCCACAACATTGTAGAGATTGATAAAGTTAGGCAGAAAACAATTATTTCAAATTTTTGCTGCTATAGGTGGTTCTACACTTTTCACACTTGCTTAGTTTATTTCACCACATTCATTTGTTGGGTGGGTGGAATCGATGGATCGGGTAACATTATTCTTAACTTAAAATTGTTGAACAAAGCCTACAGTAAGAGGCAGTACCCCCAGTACTTCTGATAAAATACAGTATACCCAAATTTGCATGATTCGTTTCCCATTGACTTGAAGTGAACCTGGGGGCCAGTCCACTGGCCAGTGGTAATTCATGAATATGCAGATGTTCTGTAAATAGCTTCTAAAAATCCTGCTCGAGGACAAGAGGGGAATCTGGGCTGTAAGGAGAGATTGATGAAGATAGATTGAGACAGCTTTTGCTGAGCAAAATGTCAGTATGATCAATATTTGTAAGAAAAAACAAAACACAAGACAAATAGTGCAATAACACAAGATATTTAAGCCAGAATGGATGACGTGTCAGTTCATAGCATCATTGGGTCGATAAAGATGACTTTACTGAAGCATTTGTAAACATACATCATTTTAAGCATCATAGCGAAGGTCAGTCAGTCAGCCGCAATCTGTGAAAAGCAGATTAATCTGTAAAGCACAACTCGTCCAGTTTCCTTGGTATCGTTTGATAAAGATGTGTTACACCTATTCCACTCGTCAAGATCGTTTTTGTCATTATGACCACATGAACACATGTGTGTTAGTATGTAAAAAAGAGCCTGCTTTTATTTTGACCGCTGTGTCCTGAAATCCTCCTATTTAATAGAAGTTAAGTACAAATCTTTGGAGTGTATTATAACCCTTAAGTTTTACACTTGCATATTTTGCCAGCAAGCTAGGTTTTGTTAAGTGTGTTATTAGAAAAAGAGCCAAGTGCAAAGAGAAGAATTTTAAGCTGCTTAATGAGAGAAAAATCAAAACAACTAACACTGAAAAAGACTGTTATAACCTGTTTCTACCAGAAACACACAAAAAACATGATGTCCATAACTCAAATTTTTGGGCTAGCAATTTAAAATTAGAATAATACACAATGGGAATACAAAAGGAATAAACAAGCGCTTGGGGGTGGCTGTGGCTCAGGTGGTAGAGCAGTTCAGCTACTGGTTGGAAGGTTGGTGGTTCAATTCTTGGCTTCCCCAGTCTGCATGCCAAATATCCTTGGGCAAGATACTAACCCCAAATTACCCTCCGATGCGTTCATTGGAGTGTGAATGTAGTTTAGTTTGCACTTGTGTTTAGAAGTGCTTGTATGAGTGGGTGCGAATGAGGCATGTTGTATACAGCTTTGAGTACTCTGGGAGAGTAGAAAAGCGCTTTATAAGAATCAGTTCATTTACCATTTACAAACCTATCAAGTAAAGCAAGTGGAGAACAAAAGCCAATATAGAAAACAGAACCAAAATACAAAACAAAAAAACCACCAAACATCCCCAAAATAACTCAAGACTCAAACATTAACCATACTCAAAACAAGAACTACCACGAGCTCCCAAAATAAGAACACAAGCAGAGAACAGAATTTACCATAATAAAACAGGAAGTGACAGCAACGGAAACATCGATAAAACCATCAAAGACATACACGTATTCTGCTACATGGATTTATTATACCAATGCAAGAAGCAGAACAATAACAGAACACTAAGGTTCGCCAGGGTTTAAACTACATATGTACTGTCAAATTTGATTTAGGAACTCATTCAGCAGTCACATAATTATTAAAGGTATCAAACAAAACCTCATGTCACAAAAAGCCAGCTAAAAAAGCCAAAACTACCAGATTAGCAATCAAACAGAAAGCAGAATAACGAGATGTTTGCAGACGACTGTGACTTCAGCACGTAGATCAAAGTTTTCCCGCTGCAGTTGGTTTGTCTTTGCTCAGCAAGGCTGGTATCAGTGATGGATCAGTGTTTGCATTATGTGATGGCTTGCTCTCTCATTTCAGATGTACAGATATTCATACACCGCATCTTATATCTTGTACAACATCTACACGAGGTAAGCCGGTTTAGACTTTTCATCATCACCTGCTCTCTGCACGTGACGGCATTCAGGTTGTTTTATTTCTGTGTGTGTGTGTGTTTAACAGGGAGGTAAGGGAGCTGAATCCTCCCGAGGTCCACAATGCTGTGCTCCAGCACGCAGCCTGGGGACGACAAGGGCAGCAGCTGGTAAGGCTGAGCGTGTCTGTTTTTAAAGCGTGATGCTTTCTCTCATTTCCTTTCTTCTGTCCTCGGCGGCTTTTTATAAATTCACGCTGCCCAGCCGCTCCAGGGGGATCTGCTCCACAGGATGGGTTGTGTTTACACGTTCTCTGTTTTCGTCTGTAGTTAATTTCACATTTTTACATTATGTTACACTCGGGGTGCTTCTTCAGACTTATTAGTAGAGTGAGGAAGTCTCTGGGCCACCTGTTTTCATTTTAGCGCTGTGCTGTAGAAATAAATTCAGCACTGTAAAGCAAGCAGCAGCTTTCAGCACAACCTTGAATGTCTGCTGATGTAGTGCAGTGCCTTTTATCAGTAGTTGGAAAGCAATATAAAAGAATAACATATATGTTTTTTATAAATATCTTTTATAAAAACTTTGAGGGTTTTTTTTTTAGTCTTAAAACTTGGAGCACAAGTCCAGAGCTCATTCTCACTTCTGAAGGTTAACACAGCCAGATTATTTCATCGTTCGTAGCTAGAGACCAGATTAATTGTCTTTTACTTAAAGTTTTGCATTTTTGCTTGACGAGACATGTAAGAATCTGTCCTTTTGTGTCATTTTTAAGCACCATGAGTTGAGGGCAACTTTAATTATTTCTTTGCAAGTTCTTTTAGATGTTTCTATGGTGGCTCTAAAAGGTCAAATGCACTGCAACTAACAAAAAACAGGAAATATAAAAATGCACATAAGAAATCGACAGAACAACAGAACTCAAATAAAACACAATGAAATGGAAAAATGTTTCACAAAAAAGATCTCACGACACTGATGCTCCACCTCTTGGTCCATTTTTCCTAAGTTGGTGTCAGTGTTGTAACATTTGTACAGCTATTAAAACAACAGCTGCATTAGGTGTATGTAAGGCTTACACGTGGTCAGGGTGCAGTTTAGCTAGAGGAGCTGCCATGCAGCTAATGACATTTGACAAGAGAGAAGTGGAAATGAAGCAAATGCAGCGGGAAATGACTTCAGGAAGATTCAGGATATTGGTGAAGATGCGCGATCCTGTTTGTACCTTCAAATGCAAATATTAAAACAGTGATGAAAGATGGTGAACAAACACTGCACACTGGGTTTTAATATATATAAAAAGGGGATGTCATCAGGGAGGAAATCAAAAAGAAAAACAAATCAAGTGGACGAGCAAAAAGCAGCTTCACACGAGGGTGAGAAACGGCAGAGAGGAAAAACAAACTAAATTTGCGTGTTTGTGTCTGCTGTCGCTTTGTCTCCAGATCTACATCTTTGAGAATAACATCTACTACCAGTCAGACGTGAGGAGCAACTCTCTGAGAATCACCTCCTCTGGGATGGAGGGAGTCATTTTCAACGGGCTCACTGACTGGCTATACGAAGGTGTGTACCGCAGAGTGTATCGACTCTGAACGTTGAGTCCTTTGCATCTTTTATGAGCCCTTTAATCACTACAAATGCAACTTTTATGTATAAACTGCACTTTGGGCTGATGCACCATAAATGCCAGCTCTGACTTAATGTGAATAACTGTGAAATTAAATCTTGCACAGACACTGAATGTAAATGAGTTAAACACGTGTGAACTTTACTTATGACTAAATTCCTCATGACATCAGTCTAAGTTGTGGTTTCACATATAGATACACACATTAGCCAACATGAGCTCCTCTGTATGCCAAAGTATTCTAGAGTTCAATGTGAGGACATCTGTCTGACAGATAAAGCATGCAACAGGACAATGAACACAAGCATACAAGCAGAAAGCAAATCTCCAACACAGTGCCTGAAAAAGAAAAGAATCAAGGTGGTGCAATGATCCGGTCAAAGTCCAGACCTCAACCTGACTGTTGTGGGCTGCTGTAAGTTGTTCTACAAGTCACTGAATCGCAGGATGGACGTTGTTTTACAGGACTGGTAACGTTAGCATGCAAACCTCTCCGCTGGTAAATATGACAACAAATAACTTTATATACAGTCTATGATTATAACAAATAAATGACGAGCAATGCAATAAAAATGTAAAACATTTACTAAAATTCACACATATTGCAATGGGTCAGATATCATTATCTTACAGTGTTAACTGTTTATATGTTATTCATAAACAATGAGCCATTCTAGTGTCTTACTTTTAGGATATTACAGTTATACTGGATGCTGGAGTATGGCTACAGCGGCTGTGGTTTTACTAGATTTGTAACGTGCACTACAATTTTTCAGCATGAGATCTTTTCCTTTTACTCATTTTGACATATTCCACTAATAAAGAGAGAAAAAGCACATCTATGGACACAGAAACAGCCATTTATGAAAGGTGGCATTGCTCCCATTAGCAGTGCGCTTGTAAATTGCATTTGGCTCACTGCTCTTTTTGTTACTCTCTGACTTTCTCTTAGTAAAATGCTAATTTAAGACCTTCAGAAAGTCAGTTATAAAAACTTTGTGACATTAATAATTGCTAAGTTTAAATCCAGGTGGTTTGAATTTTTGCCATTCTCTCTATAAATGCCAGAAGGCGAAACAGGAGAGTCGCTGTGAGCTCGTTGGTGGAGGAAACAGTTTCAGGGTGCACTGTGGATTGTCGGTTTTTCAAAGATTTGTCTTTGGCATTAAAAATGCAGCAGAGCAGACTAGACAAACTCAGCAGAGTGGCAATGAAAAATCAACAACAAGCCTCTACGATCCATTAAGTCTCTGTGTAAACAAATTCAGTAATGTGGTGATAGTGTGTGCAGTTTGCACAGAGAGCAGCACAAACGCTGTCTGAGAGAGATGGGGAACATTACAGAATAATTTTCGTTTGTAGATTTACTGAAAGCTGTGCATTTTCACTGTTTCATTTGCTTTTACTTCAGATTGCAGCCATTTGGCTGATGTGTTCTGACAGCGGAGGAGCACAACTCCATCAAAAAGTGTGCTTTTGACCAGTTTTTGGATTACATTTTAAATAACGTAAAGTGACCTAGAAAAGGCAAAAATGAAAGAATAAAAGAATAGGAGTGCAGGTGGGGAAAACCAGCAAGTTCATAAGATCTATCAATTATCTGTCTTAATGTATGTAAGAAGATCCTCAGGTTGCTTTAAATACAGAATGAGAGGAAAAAAATCTAAATAAAGCTGTTTTACAGATGGTTTTGTGTGTTTTATTCCTGATCAGAGGAGATTCTACATTCATATTTGGCTCACTGGTGGTCTCCTGATGGAGAACGACTGGCCTACCTCACCATCAACGACACACTGGTACCCAACATGGTTCTTCCCCAGTTCACCGGCAGCACGTACCCCCGAGGCCTACAGTACCCATATCCAATGGTGAGGCTGGGCTCTGAGGAATAGACAGTCGCTTTCTTTAAGGCTCTTTGCAGTATTTTCATCCTTCAACTAATACACAGCTAAATCTAAATATACCAGAGGGAAAAGGCAATGCCAGATCAATAACCTTAGCTTAGCAGAGTAGCAGTAAGTCGCTGCTCTGCACATCTGGCTCAGGTGGAATCATTTTAAATTATTTTACTGTAAGTAATTATCTTAAAGTGCAGTTTTTCGATGACAGAATCATGCCTGTTGTTAACGCAGTGCTGCCCGAGGCCCGAAGATCACAGGCATTCATGTTGATTTTGGGCTTTGTCCTTGCACACAGAGATTTCTCCAGATTTTCTGAATTTTTCAATGATATTATGCACCGTAGATGATGAGATATTCAAAGTCACATTTATGTAGAGGAACATTATTCTCAAATCTTTCCACAGGTTGAAGATGCAGGGTTTTTTCAGATTTGTTAAACTCTACCTCTTAAAGATGCTCTTTTTATACCCAATCAAGTCACTGACGTGATGCCAATGAACCCAATGACCTGGCAAAAGTTACTATTTTAGTACTGCAATCAGTGGGTTCTGTTTTTGTTCACGTTTGACACAGCATCCAAACTTTTTTGAAATTGGTGTTGTCATTCCCATCGTGATATCTTGAATTTATACGGAACGCATCAATACTTATGGACACGTTTGCACTCAACCCACAACCGTTAAACTCGAAGTTGGCTGAACATTCTTACAAACAAATTATCTCCCTGTTTTTTAGATGATATGTTGATTGTTGTTTTGTCTTTTTGGGAATTAATTTCTCACTGTACATGTGATACCAGCAATTCCCCAACCAATGATATGTCTGACCGTTTAAATGATCCTATGACGTGAAGACCACAGCTGTAGTTATTGTACAACTGAGGATGCAAAAATCTGCTATGTGGAAGAGTAGAATTTGTGGAAATAAGTCATGAACAGTTATTTATTTGGTGTTAGCTTACATATTCTCTCTGTGATCTATAGCATGGTCTTTTCATTTTAAATGAATTATTCAGACTTTTTCTCTGCTTTTATGTATAGATGTCAACACCACGGTCTCGTCTTATGTACATAAAATTAAAAAGCTGATTTTAGGGGATGTTTCTGTGTCCGTCCCATCAGGCCGGTCACGTCAATCCTACAGTCAAGCTGTCAGTGGTCAGCCTGGTTGGTGCGACGCACACTCAGGAGATGCAGCCCCCCGATCAGCTCGCGCTCAGGTGACGACACACAAACATAAGCTCGGGCTGGCACAGAAAGGTGTAAAATCCACAATTCGAGTCTCCTCTCTGTATCTTCTCTGCAGGGATTTCTATATCACCATGGTGAAGTGGATCAGTAATACTCACCTCGCCGTGCAGTGGCTCAATCGGCCCCAGAACGCTTCTCTGCTTACTGTGTGTGACGCAACAATAGGAGTCTGTCTTCAGGTTAGTGCTTTTGATTTAAACCTCAGGAAGGAAACTTAGTTCAGACTTTCATTGTCCGCATACAGAGCAGATTACTTAAGTGTACCCCAAAGCACTGCTGTGAGTTGAGAAGAATCAGACTCATTAAAGTTGTACTGTTACTTTACTCTCTTAGGGCCAGCTGTTCTGCTTTTCTTCATTTACAATCAGATATATACAGTCAGCGAGTCCCAGTCTTATGTGACACTGAGGCATGTAGGCCACTCTGATACAGAGTAAATTGTAAAGTGGCAGAAGCTCTTTGCTGCAGTCTTGACTATAAGAAGATCAAAGCTGCCACTTTACAAGCCTGTGACCCTTTGCCAGGACTTATAGGCAGATGGTGCTGTGCTTGTAATGGTGCACACTTCAATCAGTGCAAGTCAGTGTGAGCTGCTGCTAGGTGAGGACTGTGTGCCTGAAAGCACTGGAACTTCTCTAAGTGTCGACTTTGCATCAGGCCGCCACATGGCCGATGAGTCCACTGATACACCAAAGTAGCTTTAAGCATGCCTGCTCCCACTTGCGCTCTCTGTGAATAAAGGATGCTGGCATTCCTTTGTCAAGACCCAAGATGGAGAAACTGTCATAAATGTGGTCATTTGGTTCTAAAACTGAAATCATAGGTATCTGACGTTCACCTCCACACATCCAAAACTGGATGGACTGATAAAAATGGAGTGGTTGTCAGACGGGTTTAAGGATGGTGAAAAGCGGTCATGCAGGATTTTGGTTTGGCAGCTTGGCAGATGGTTTGAAAGAATGACCAATCTCTGTGACATAAAGCCCAGTTTATCAGACACGGAGAAGTCCAGTTTGGCATAGAAACAGTCCTTGGTCTTCCCTGCCTTCTAAGGCTGATGGCAGTGGTGGACTGCACTGATGGCCATAGCCTAACCACTCTTTTCAGACCTACTGGTAAGTTCCTTTAGCTTCTCAAAACCATTGTTACAGTCTGTGGTAGGGGTGGGAAAAATCAATCAATCAAAACACTTGATTGATTGACTGCAAGCTAATAGCTTAGTCGCACAAGTAAAAATAGGACAGCAACCTAGGACAGCAAGCAAGAAGATCAGTGGCTGCCTGCTGATTGTATTGAATTGGTGATTGAACTGTTGGTAACATCACTGGTGGCTGCCAGCAGTTTGCATTCTGGTAATATTCCTACAGAACAGGAAGGCTGCTGAGCACAAATGTGATAGTTAGATATTCATTTCTTTCCATGTAGACAGCAACAGATATGTGATGTGCAATGATTTATCAGAGTTAATTGCTGATAATTATGCTGTTAATTATGCTGTTATGTTGTTATTATCATAAACAGATTGCATATAACTGCCAACTTGACCCCATTTAATACCACAGTGATTGTAGACTGACTCTCTAATGGCAACATTTATGGCAGGTTTCAGTTACCACGTTGGTGTGCTTCACAGTCTCGGTCCCTGAAGTGAGATAACTTTATCTTACAGAATAAAACAGATACTGACTAAATCTAATTTAGAGGATGTAATTTGCAGTTTAATAAAAGGTGATAAATCGCTGTACGTGTTATTACTATACTCACAATAATAGTTAATGA